CACACACACACACACACACACACACACACAAGTGGGATGAATGAATAATGAATATAAATATTTGCTTCCTTTTTCTTTTAATTTCTGTAGCAGACAGTTGTTGAAATGGGTCGGAGTGATATGTCAGCCAATCTGCCATATTGTATGTGGCTTTAATATTAAATAAAAATTTAATATTTAAATTTAATATTTAAAATTTGATGCAAATAATATCGGAAAACTGCGCTAGGATAACATCATACAATCAAAAGCAATAATGCCATATTGATCTGGTGAGTTTTTGCTTGATGATACATCTGCAAGGAGGAAGCATATTCATAATTTGCTTCACTTTGCTCCAACCAATACGGCTGGGGCGTCGACGTACTCAGGAAGGCATCTTCGTATATGTAATGTAAATGTTGTCTGTGGTAATACTTACTTGCGGTTGTTGCAGAAGGCGCCATTCAAGACGGAATCAGCAGTGCTATGTGAATGTATGGAGCAAAGTTAGTTAAGTTATTAATTGCCCTCGACCACCCCATGCCTCTCTCCCACGGCATCAGGCACGGAGGTGTTGTTTTGGGTTTTTTTCGGTGGGGGTGGGGGGGACAGACTGGGATGGAAGCACTTTAAAAGGCAAGGATGGATGGGGACAGAGAATGATTTTATACGAATGAATTTCTGCAAATTTGTGAGAATGTAGTTTTTTTAATGCGTATCTTATTAGAATATTGTTCGATTTTTCCATTTCTATTTCAACTGTGATATATTCCATAATGTTGTACATAGTAATCCATCTTGCCATCCTCCATTATCCAAGCTACTTATCGTTACAAGGCTATCCCCAGGAGTTTGTCTTCAGGCAATGGATGGGGTACACCCTGAACTGGTTGCCAGCCATTCGCAGAGCACGTGTAGATAAACAACAACCATTCATATCCACAATCACATCTCGGGACAATTTAAAGCAGTGGTTCTTAACCTGGGTTTGATCGAACCCCAGGGGTTTGGTGAATCGGTCTCAGGGGTTCGACGGAGCCTCGGCCATAGAGGTTAAGACACACCCGACTCAACATGTCAATTAGTTATGACACGCCCTCTTGGCCATCACTGGCTGGTTCATTTTGTGCACAATTAAAAACGTATAATTTTGTCTTTAAATTTTATTTAAGTTGTTTTCTGTTTTTAATTCATGTAAATGCATTTTAATGTCTTGGATTGGTAAAAAAAAAAAAAAAAATCATATTTTTATTTTTCACTAATGAAGGGTTCGGTGAATGTGCATATAAACTGGTTGGGTTCGGTACCTCTAACAAGGTTTAGAACCACTGATTTAGAGTGATCAATTAAGCTACCAAGCATGGTTTTGGAATGTGGGAAGAAACCAAAGTACCCCAAGAAAAGCCACGCTTAATCCCAGGGATTTGTCCAACTCAGTGATGTCTCTGATCGCCAGCACCTTGATCTCCTCTGGTGCTCCTTTGAGTTTCATTTAAGGTTTGCTGTCCATGTAGATTGGATCTTGTCCTTTTTACTCAAAAAGGTGGGCCTGTCATGCAATGTCAGTCTTTTTTTTTTTTTTTTTTTTGACTAAATGTTCATCGATGTACACATTTGTGTTAGTGCTAGACAAGTAACAGCCAATTGGCCAATAGTACTGCACTGATAAACAAGGAGCGGCCCGGTGGGCGACTAGTTTGTGTGTCGGCCTCTCAGTGCAGAGGTGCAGGGTTCGATTCCGGCTCTGGCCTTCCTGTGTGGAGTTTGATGTTCTCCCCGTGCCTGCGTGGGTTTTCTCCGGGTACTTCGGTTTCCTCCCACATTCCAAAAAACATGCGTGGCAGGTTAATAGATCATTCAAAATTGTCCCTAGGTGTGAGTGTGAGCGTGCGATTGGCTTGCAACCAGTTCAGGGTGTCCCCTGCTCACTGCCCGAAGACAGCTGAGTTAGGCTTCAGCATGCCTACGACCCTTGTGAGGATTAGCGGATCAGAAAATGGATGGATGAATGGATGATATGACAAGTAACTACATTGAACAAAATTGTTGCACTGTTGCGCCTACAACAGGTAAACAATAGCGTTTAGAAAGTAATAATCTGAACTTTGGATGTTGACGACACAATGCACTGCGCCAACTGTAAACAATGCTATTTCAGCAGGCTCGAAAACTTGTATGAGCATATGCTACACTTTGTAAATGGTAGACAGCTGTTGTGGATGGCCAGAGTGTCACAACAAGAAGGGACAAACAAATGGGCAAGCATTTTACATGCTATCAAAAGAAGAACAAAGGCATAGCACCGGTGTTCGTTTCCAACAACTCGCGGGTAGCTCTTCAGCACCAGGGAGGCCGCAATCGAACGCACCAGTGCTGCTTCCTCATCCGGTGCACCCGCTCACAGTGAGTGATCACAAGGATGCACCATAGTAGTTCTGCCCATCTACTATCGTGATAGTTAGAAAAAGCACTCCAGGCGCTTGATAGGGCTGTATCCAGCTGGCACATGCATCACTATGTCCTTTTCATCAAAGTGAGATGTGAATTCAGTTGGATGGAATGTTGACTGAGTAACGCTAATTCTATCAGTGCTTTCCGATCCTTCGCCTGTCTCCTCTACGATCCTGTCAGCTTGGCTGCATTAACAAATGCATGCATGGATCTCTCACCTGACGTCCGGAATCCATCATATGGGTGTGTGATAGTTCCACAGATGCCTCGATGATATTATTGGCTGATGAATAAAAAAATGACAGAATAATGTGGAATTTATTGCCTTTATGTAGGCCACTTGGCATTAATATAGGCCACCTGGAGCGGGATTCTTTGTGAACCTGTGCAGTGGTTAAATGACTGACAGAAAGTTCAACAAGTTCAACAAGCAAAATAATATGAAACGATTACAAATTTTAAGACAATGTTATTGCGGCCACAGCGTGGTGTCGTGGTTCAGGGAGTGGAGCTGCTGCTTCTCCCGATTGAGAAGAGCCAGATTAGGTTCCTCGGACATTTGGTTAGAATGCCTCCATGGTGATGTGTTCCGGGTACATCCCTGTGGGAAGAGGAGTCGGTCATGACCCAGGACATGCTGGAGAGACAATGTCCTCGGGCTGACCTGGGAACGCCTTGGGATTCCCCACGAAGGGCTGGACATTGTAGCTGCCGAGAGAGAAGTCTGGGTTTCCCTGCTACAGTAGCTGCCCCACGACCCAACCCCAGATAAATGGAAGGATGGATGGATGGATGGATGGATGGATGGATGGATGGATGAATGGATGGATGGATGGATGGATGGATGGATGGATGATGATAATCGTGAAAATTATTTAAAACTGTCAAGATAAAATGATTAATATAGTGATAAAATGAGCCAGTTACAATTAACAAATGCTACTGTAATACATTAAAAAACAAGTGTCACATTATATGTTATTAACATTATTACTATTGAATCCTTGCAATAATTTCAGCTCTCTGAGAAAGGGCTCAAAAAGGAAATGGAGGATGCTGCTCCACCCTCCTCCCCCACTGATCCCTGCTACCTCTGAGCTGAGTGGCCAGCGAGGCAGCCAATCACATTGGTGCACATTTGCTCAGTCATCAGGCTTAGATATTGAGGCAGGATCTGCTTGTGCTGCTGCTCGCTGTTTGCCTGTGTGATGAAATGAAATGCCAGGATCGGGCTACCTCCAGGGAGCGCCTCTCCATCCTATAATGTGAGCCAGCCAGCAGCTCTGTGGGACCAGGGAGACGCTACATCCATCAAGGCTCCAGAGGAACAAACGGGAGGAGAGAGATCTCTCTTTGTTTAAATAGCCTTCTGTGCTGTGAAGAGAAGGGATTGTCGTCATCCCATCCATCCTTTTCCCCCTTCTCTGGCGCCCCCTCCTTCTTCCTCTGCCTCTACACTTGTTCTTCCCTCCCTTTCTGTATCAGAGGCGCGCGTTGGAATAACAAACCTCCATGTATGACAATTTGTACCTGCATGGATTTGAAGACTCTGAGGCGGTGAGTGTTTGGATGAGTGCGGCTTTGCGCTCACCCGTAGCATCGTCGAAAGGCCTGTAAGCCAACAACAGAGTGTGATGATGGACTCTGCCTTGGCTGGAAGGGGTTGCGTGTGTGTGTTTGTGGGTACTCCTGTGTGTGTGTGTGTGTGTGTGTGTGTGTGTGTGTGTGTGTGTGTGTGTGTGTGTGTGTGTGTGTGTGTGTGTGTGTGTGTGTGTGTGTGTGTGTGTGTGTGTGTGTGTGTGTGTGTGTGTGTGTGTGTGTGTGTGTAAGTGGTACACATTTGGGCAGATGGCCTCTGATGTGTCTTCCGTCAATTTTATGTGGGTCCCCACCATGTTTGCTCGTGATGTGCGGCTTCTGCTGCAGTCTGACACCATTCAGTGCCTATCGGTCTGATGCTCCAAGAAATGGAGCAAATCCCGACACCAGGAAGAAGACTGAAAGATTTTCATTGTGACATGGCACTGCTCGAAATAGACCCGACTGAGCATTTTTCAGTCCACCTGAGGCAGCCCATTGTGTAGGCTGTGCTCAGAATCACGCATCGTGATGTCATTAAGTGGATTGTGATGTTGATGAGTCACATGCTGAAGCTACTCTATTGGATGAGGCTTTGGATGCTGCAAAGCATCCAGATAGATGAAAAGATGCTTAGTGATTTGACATGAGGGTAAAAATGGTGTGAGAACACGCGTTTAATGGCTTACTTGTGAAAGAGAGACAGAAAATCAAGGCAGCCTGAGCCCTCAAGAACAGTTCCCGCAACTCACCCCCAATCCATCCTAAACTCCACACAGTAGCCTATCTTTTATAAATTTGTACTCAAGCTGAAGTAACCGTTTTGTCTCCTTGAAAAAGCCATTACACAGATGACTTCCCCAGCTGAGCATGCTGCGCTGAACTGATCTTGAGGCATAGAATCAGCAGAATGCGCCTTTTATTTAATAATACCAAAACAGGAAGAGTCCAGCAGTGAATAGTATTTTGCCAGGGGTGTTTGTGTTCTTTTTGCCCGTGGACTACATTTCACCCTTTGGTCATCCATATTGTCCTACTGATGCCAAAATCCAGAAGCATGCTCATGCCAGACCTTGTGAGAGGCCAGTTTGGATACATAGCATAGATGTGTACAGAGACGGCGAGCAAGTAAAAAGTGCTTAGCCATCAGTCTTGAAAACACCATCATGAGCTGAATTCTCCCCTTCTCCTGATTGCATTATTGAACATTCCAAACATCCTTGAATTGCTGATGTTTATTTGCAGACAGCTGAAGGAAGCCTCTGCTTTGGTTCATGACATGTTTGCAGGGCTCAGCTGATTCATACACTAGTAGACCATCAGACTCAGATGTCTCTTTGGAGGAGGAACGTGACGTGCAGGCCCAGGTGCAGAGCCAGAGCCCTAGCCAGAGCCAAGGGCCGGGACAGAGCCGACAGGAACGGGAGCAGCAGGCCACCATCCAGCTGGAGAGAGCCAAGGTAGCCACATGCACCAAAAAAAAACAGTATAGGATTGGTATCAAGAATTTCATAATGTGACTGTGTCTCCAGACCAAACCTGTAGCATTTGCTGTGAGGACCAATGTCAGCTACTGCGGTGCTCTGGATGAGGATGTTCCAGTTCCTGCCACAGCCATCTCCTTTGATGCCAAGGACTTTCTCCACATAAAAGAGGTTATGATGGGCATTTTTTTTCCATCAGCTATGATCTATATAACATGAGTGAAGAAAAGTGGAGTGAACTTTGTGGTGTTGTTTCCTGTGTTCTGTTTCTAGAAGTTCAATAACGACTGGTGGATCGGACGATTGGTGAAAGAGGGATGCGAGATCGGCTTCATCCCCAGTCCCCTCAAGCTGGAGAACATCAGGCTCCAGCAAGAGCAGAAAAGAGGACGAGTCCAAGGGTAAGTAGTATAAGACGATGCTGTACATTGCTGTTTAACATTTGTGTGAATTGAGCTTCCCGTAGTCAGAAGCCTATGGGTAAAACTTTGAATGGACTTCTCACCATAAAAACTACATGGGAACGTGCCATGTGCAGACATTGATAATGGTACCTGAAAAAAAAGAAAGCACCTCAACTTTGCATACATGCGGTACTGAAATGTGAATAAAGATTTTGGTGAGTACAGGGATTCGACTGGATGCAGTAGCAGTGCAGTCAATGAGTACCATCACGTTCTGGGCCGTATGTGCAATGTCCCGTTTTCAACACAGACTGTAAGGTTGACAGTGAATGAAAATGATCCAAACTTCTTATGGTTGGGGCCTTTTTTTTTTAACTTCCATTTAAGAACATGTTACATTTGCATTTGCAAAATTGGTATGATTTGAATCTTTATTAAAGTCAAGTAAAAGTGGTGCCAAACAGTTGACATTCTCTTGGCCTCTACTGGGTGCGGATCTTTTTATGACTCATGCCTATTTCGATCCTCTCCTCCACTCACACAGTCGCTTTCAGCAGCCCTAATAAGAGGTCCCTTTACCTATGTGTGCGCTTTGTCGCGTGCGTAACGTGTCTTGATGGTTATGTCACCCAGCATTTGTGCAGTAACTCATGCACTTCGTCAAGCTTCAAAGTCAACTTGTAACGCTAATCTCTGTGGACCCGACTGCTCCGGCGCTCTACTTGTGAGCTTGGTGACTGCCACCAAAGCATCTCAGACAAGCGGACACATTCAAATTCACTGTATTTGGAATTCCTGGACTGATCCCTTAACATTTCCTCAGGCTTTCTAGGGTTTTTCCGCATTAATGCCACACTGTGTTTCTGTCTCTCTTTATCCCCCTCTTGTTTTTTCCAGTAAGTCTGGAGGGAACTCCTCTTCCAGTGTAGAGGATGAGGTGTCTGCCTCTATCCGACCACTCATATCCGCGGCAGGTGAGCGCATCAGACAGGGGGAGTGGGCTCTAAGTAGCCAGCCACCTGCTTAGAGACGAGCCTCCTGAAGTGCAAGAGCATAGAATAAGAGCATAAAGCCATCTCTGCTTAGAGCCTAAGTTCACTGCCTTACGGTTGTTGGTACATTTTCCCATGATGCTCCTCTTCCTCCAGTTGAGGACTGCAGGCGTTCTGAGAGTGGGGCTTACCACAGTGTGAATCCAACGACAAGACTATGAACCCTTTCCCCTCTCCCGAACATCACTCGTGTGATTTTGTGAATATGATAGGAACATAGAAACACCTTTTCTCACATTTTTCTTAATCCTAGTTGATAGTTGCTAGGTTTTCTTTGCTCAAGGCACGCAAGGTTTCTGACTGTGACTCCTTCCCCAAGCAGCCACTGACGACACTGTCGCTGTCTTCTCTCCCCTCCCACAGGAAAGCAGAAACAGAAAGTGGTAAGTTGGTGAGACCCACTCATGAAGCATCCACTGAGTTCTTGTGGCCTCCATTGCAGAATGACAGGAGCTTGTGGCGCTGCAGCAAGTGGCCGCATTTCACACGGAGCGCAATACTTCAGGCTCACTGAAGTATCAAAGTTGTCTTTTTTTCACATCTTTAAAAATCCAAACTGTAATCAGCCGGTGAAATGTCTCTTTGCAGACAACATTGGCATGTTGCTCCTCATCCTTTCATTCTCTTGTTACATTGAAGCCTTGTTTTCATCAATCATTACAGTTTGATTTCATGAGTAGATCGTGTTGTGAAAGTGACCAGATAGCACACCTGGCAACATTTGCAGTGGTAGGGTGCCAAAAGGGTGGCAGTAGAGATACGGCATCCCCTCCATTGATGATGACAGAGTGTCATAACTTCCAAAAACAAGGGGAATGGGATGGGAAGACCACAAAATACCTTTTCTCAGACATATTTGTTTTGTTCTTGTACGAAAAAACAACATGCTAAAGAAGTACAAAACATATTGTGGGATGTTCTACATTTTCATTACTAGTACATACTGTACTTCATCATTTTTGCAGCTGTTGGATATGACTGGCTAGGATAGCACACTGTTTTATATGTAGCTGACACGGCTAACACAATCCCACCAACACACTTTGCGATGGAAACACACAGCACTTTCGGATATATCATGCTGGCTTAAACTGAACTGTACTGCTTGGTGGAAACATAGTTTCAGCGCGTTTGCATCATGCAAGAGAAGCCTGTCATTTTAACAACTGACTGTAATCCGCATTCATCCGCTGCCCATTGGAGCTTTCTGATTGTGTTATTTTGGCCCCATTGTCTCACTCATATTCAGCCGCTTGCTGCTGACTAAATGTTTGAATTGACAGACGGAACACATCCCCCCGTATGACGTGGTTCCCTCCATGAGACCGGTGGTGCTGGTGGGACCTTCGCTCAAGGGTTATGAGGTGAGCTTGAGAAGACGTTATGTGTGCTACTGTGCTGTACTTGAGTGGATTTTCTTCGAGTCCTCTGGCTTCCTTCCTTCCGGAGGCGTCAACTTATCATGTTGGAGCGGTTTATGCTTGACACCAGAACATCCTAGGCTGCATTATCAACTTTATGGTTGTGTCATCTGTGGCCACATGTCTTAGGTGAAGAGAAGAGCTGGACTGTCAAGCGATTACCGGCTGGCGGTGTATTTGGGCCGATGGTTGGGAAAGATCCCGGTCCTAACCATGGCAGAGCCAAATCTAATGTGAGGGTGTTCTGGGAACGTCTGGCAGAATCGGTTTCAATTATCATCTACAAAAGAACTTTCACCATATCCGGGAACAGTGGGAGGCATATCCCCAAACGGAGTTAGCGTGGACCCTGTGGGCCTCCTTTGTTGTCATGGGAGAAAACCCCAAACCTGTTGGTGGACACTGGTGGTGATGGATGTTGTCAAACTGAAGGATTCCTGTCGGGCCTTTTTGGCCTGTGGGACTCTGGGGGTAGCTAATGGGTCCTGGCAGGCCAAGCAGAATGCACTGGGGTGACGGTCCCCTTTTTATCCAATTCACTGCCAACTCTCCCACTTACAATGCATATATCGTTAAGAAGGCAGAACCGGTGCAGGAGTTCCAATTATAGGGGGATCGCAATCCTCAGCCTTCCTGGTAATCCCTAATCGGGGGTTCTATGGAGGGGGATTCATCAGAAATTCATTTCTCAGATTCAGGAGGAGTAGTGTGGTTTTCATCCTGGCATTGGAACAGTTCACTATCCTTGAACACTCAGCAGTGTCCTCTAGAGGATGCATGGGACTTCTCCCAACCAGCCAATGTGTCCATTGTGGAAGAGGCATTTGACCATGCCCCTCTGGGATTGCTATGTGGCTGCTGCTCGAGGAGTGTAAGGGCTACCTGACTTCCTGATACAGGTTATTCTGTCCCTCTGCATGGTCTGCAATGCCTTCAGTGGTGGTGAAGTCTGGTCATCCCTGCTTAAACTGCTGCACTGGTTACATTACCTCAAATAAGCAGAAGAAAATAGATAGGCGATGGATGGATGGATGGATGGATGGATGGATTAAAAGACAAAAAACAGCAGTCATGGCATTGCAAATGGAAAACTCGTCTGTGCAGGTGACTGACATGATGCAGAAGGCACTCTTTGACTTTCTCAAGCACAGATTTGATGGCAGGTAAGACAAATGCAATGCTTCCTTTTTTGTTTTTCTTTCTTACCATCACGTGGATCTGTAGATTGTTTGTCTCACTCTTGCAGGATATCAATCACTCGAGTCACTGCAGATATATCTTTAGCCAAGAGGTCCGTCCTCAACAACCCCAGCAAGAGGGCCATTATAGAGCGATCCAACACCCGTTCCAGTTTAGGTAAGGAATGGAACTTTAAATGGGAAGCTAGTTGTTGCCCAGATAAAGTTCTCTCTTAGCGTCTTCAGCCACTCCTTACTCATGCCTTGTGTCATCAGCTGAAGTGCAAAGTGAGATTGAGCGCATCTTTGAGTTGGCCCGCTCACTGCAACTGGTAGTGCTGGATGCCGACACCATCAACCACCCAGCCCAACTCCTCAAGACCTCTTTGGCCCCTATTATTGTCCACGTCAAAGTGTCTTCACCAAAGGTAAGCTCGAGCAAGTACCGTTTAATGGTGGTCGTGAACATCAGCATAAAATGGAGTTGAATGATAGATCACAGAAAATGCATTTTGTCGGGACAAACAACAATCAAGTCTTGATTTTTTTTCAAGCAGGAATTCCCCAATATTAAGATAACAGTGCCATGTTAGATATATTTTTTTCTTCCTTTTTTGAATCTGCAATGAGTGTTTTGCACCACATTAGCTTGTCATGGTGTTGAGACCCAAGGATTTACGACAACGCCCATGATTCCTCCAAATATTCATGACAAAATCTTCGTCTGGAAGGGGTTAGTGCGCATTTTTAAGTGTAGTAATGCCTTAGTCATGTGGAGCTAACGTATACCTATACTCACAGTGACCATGAGCAAGCACGGCATGCTCAGCAGCACCCAGAACTCTGCTGAGGAGCCCCCAAAAGCCTCACTAATTTGATCATAGTGACACATTTGTCTGTCCTTGTCCTCCAGGTTCTGCAGAGGCTAGTCAAGTCCAGAGGAAAGTCCCAGAGCAAACACCTGAATGTCCAGCTTGTGGCTGCAGACAAACTTGCTCAATGTCCTCCAGTAGGTGGCCATCTTCATAGCTGACTGTTCTGCTTTCATTGAAATGACAATAAGTAATAGCCGCCGAGCGTTTTGCTGCCCACAGGAAATGTTTGACATCATCCTAGACGAGAACCAGCTAGAGGACGCCTGTGAGCATCTGGCAGAATACCTTGAGGCCTACTGGAAAGCAACGCATACCTCCATGGCGACACCCCTGAACCCTTTGCTGGGACGCAATCTTGGCCCCGGCACCCTCACAGCATACCCTACCAGCATCTCTGGACTGCAGGTATGCCGTGACCTCTTTGGGTTCTTATTATGCCCCATATGCCCATTTGTATCATGTTTTACTCATTGCTTCTAATAGCAGAGCCAAAGAATGCAACAGAGCAACCACACAGGCGATCATTCTACTGCAAACGAGCGTCGCAACCTGATGACATCTGAGGAAAACTACCATAATGAACGGGCACACAAGGGACGCAATCGAATGTCTTCAGGCTCACAGCACAGCCGAGAGGCGCAGGACCCCTACCAGGACTACCAGGACCCCTATCAGGATGCATACAAGCCACACCGCAACCGCAGCTCCCCGGGCAGCTACAGCCATGACTCCCGGCACAGGCTCTGAACCTTGTTGAGTCTTCGTGGGTGACCAGATGTCCCAAATTCCACCCACAAATAATCGCTGCCACAGAGCCAAGATTGTCCCAAGTTTTCCCTATTTTTCAGGGTGGTTAACTTATTTGTGTATTAAACCTCCAAAACATTCACATAAATTGAAGTTGAAGTTTCATGATACCCAAGCAACTACTGGACCTTCTGGATCCCGCGCAGAAGACATTGCATAGATTGTGCTCGCTGTCATCAGCAGTGGTTGCATGGTGCTGATGTGATGTCACACCAGGTGGGAAGCCCACTGGAGACAGACCCTTCCATAACCACGTAAAAAGCCTCTCAACCTTTAGCTTATTGCATGCTAATAGATGATGAACGTCTGCTTCCTTTCTTCCTTCGTTCCTTCATAGATCTTTTGTATCTATCCTGGATGTCTGATTTTCTGAATCTCTAGCTTGTGAACGTGCGGTCTGGAGTGGGCTTGCAAGCGGATGGGTTGGCAGTTGTCCAGCGTGCTCCTAGTTGAAAAATTGGTGCTTCACATTCTTGGACTATTTCGGTCATTGAACGTTACTTCTTGAATCGCACAGTTTTAGTGGTTCATTTATTGAGGGAAAAACTCTTACTGCTGCAAACAGGTCAGACTAAAATGGAGAAAACAGTGCTCTGCTTTTGTTGTGAGCAGTCTGGAAGCTATTATAATAAGCTATTTGGAGAACTTTTAAAGAGCGTCTGCTTGATCAATTTCAATTTGATAGCATTTAAATGAGAGGTGAGCTTTCTGTTTGGGCTTTGTGTGTAGTTTCAGTAAATTATTTCCTGTGATTGGTTTCAGCTGGGGTTCCTCAGGTCCTTCCCAGACCCACCCTCTTCCATCAGCCAGTCAGCTTCTTGCTTGGCCACCTGTGTCTTGCATTTAGTTTCTGGTTTCCTGGATGCATATTTGTCAAATTTTCAGGTACATTTTTTTTTCCCCATTTGTACATTGGTTGACAAATTAAGATTTAGTTTCACCCTTGCATTCTACAAATCAACCAAAAGATCTTCAGTGAGACATTTATGGCAAATGATATGAGCTTGTATCTGTGTAGCCATTTACATTATTTCCCTAAATTTGCAATGCAACACAGCACAGCAGCTATTTTTTAAGAAAGTGTTTGCACCACCATTAATTGACAGTGTGATTGAACTGAGTGAAATAAGGAAGTGCAGATGTAGCTAATAATGATTTTAAGGCACCTTGTGTTGTAGTTTTACTGTATGTGTGATTTTTTTTCCTTTTAGCTGGGGAAATAGGATATCATGAAGTTAGTTCCAGATGACAAACACTAGTAAGCTAGCAATTGGCAGTATACTGTATATGGATGGAAACATGTATATATATATATATATATATATATATATATATATGTAGACTAAGTGACTTCTGTAGATAGTATGATCTTCATTGGCGATGAGGGATGATAAAACAAGCATATTTCCTGATTTATATCAAACAAGCCTTTCAAACTTGGTACGGAGGACCGCACCTGACTTGAGAATGATGAAGTTCATGCCACATAACAACTGGTAAATACAGTACATCCAAATCGAGAGTAAACACAACTAACTACTTTTTAAATGTATTTGAATGTCAAGTTCACTAATTCAAGATGGCCACGATAAATGTATGGTTATATGTTTGATGGGACAACAAATGCGAGGGCTGGTCTCTGATCTGCGATATGTTGTGTTTGACATTCACTGTTTGGCTGTTTGGTTTTCTTGGTATACAGGAGGGAAAATGTGTACCAGTGCAACTGCTGTATTCGCAGTTTGTTCGGAATGCTGCCGCAGCATACAGGACTGGATTGGAATCCTCCGCAGAATACTGGAATGCTCAACATTTTAACGACAGATGCCAGCATTAGCATTATATGATGGAAATAATTAAATTAAGTTAGAGCAGTGGTTCCCAGCAAGCACGTGACATTAATTTGACATCAATTTGATGTTGAAGATTGGATTTGGATGCCATATTGATGTTGAATTGATGCCCACTAGCTCAACAGTCCTGACCCTAATGTGTATTGACTCCAAAATATATGTTAGTCTCATAAAAAAAGAGATACAGTAGGTAAAAATGGTGGAAGCACATTAAACATGAGCATAAAATATAAGCAAGGCAACTTTTTCTGCCCATTCTGCCCCACAGTACAGTACACCTCTGGTTTGTTGAGAGGAACTATTTTCCATTTGAAATGTTACAAAGAAAAACACAATGTTCAAGTATGCAGCATGAGGGGACAAGGATGACATTTTAGATCATTCATGTCTCTGTGTCCAAAGTACATCTCTCTTTTACTCAGTTGAAATGCTGAACAACACTTCGGGAAAGATGAAGAAAAACAACATTTATTCCAGTCAAAAAGCAACAGATGGGCATCCCTGGTGATGTTTTTTAATATATATAACAAATGTACATAGTCTTTTGAGAGATGCTCCACAGAAGAGACATAAAGTATGTATATGGTTCCAAAAGCAAGATTTCAGTCATGTGCACTTCAAAGCAAAGCAGCATGCTGTGCATTAAATGAGGATCTTCATGTACTATGCAATCGCAAACTTCATACTGCGGCCTCTGCACCGACCCCCCCCCCCTCCCTCCACCCCCCTCTTTTCCACACAGCTTCATCTGGACCATCAAGGGAATCTTGTGTTTATTGTGGATTTGTCTGTGGAAGGTGAAAATCCTCAGTGGCTAATGCGGTATTGCATGCATAATATACCATTCTAATTTATGAGAAGGAATTCAATCAAACTATGTGACTTTGGAGGCAGCTGAGTTGAACGCAGAGCTCCAAGTGACTAAAACATTTTTTGCAAAATAAAAGAGCCGTTATGATATTGTCTGCTGCATTTTTTAACAGTTTCAACAGTCAAAACATCAAATGGTTCTGAATACACTTGACAACTAAAAATGAATACAATTAATATGTGAAGAAAATGTAAAATACAAAAGGTGGCACGGTGGGCGACTGGTTAGCACATCCGCCCCACAGTGCAGAGGTGCAGGGTTCGATTCTGGTTCCGGCCTTCCTGTGTGGAGTCTGCATGTTCTCCCCGTGCCTGTGTGGTAGGTTTTCTCCGGGTACTCCGGTTTCCTCCCACATTCCAAAAACATGCATGTCAGGTTAATGGAACACTCAAAATTGTCCCTAGGTGTGATTGTGAGTGCGAATGGTTGTTCGTCTTTGTGTGCCCTGTGATTAGGGCACATTTGACATAAAGTTGACTTGAACTTGAACCAGTTCAGGGTGTACCCCGCCTACTGCCCGAAAGCAGCTGACTCCAGCTGGCTCCAGCACGCCCCGACCCTCTTGAGGATGAGCGACTTGAATAATGGAGGAATGGATGGATGAATGAAAAATACAAACGAAGTCGCTGGTGGGATCGTGGTACACCTGTCTGACTTGTGTGCAGGCATGGGTGATTAGGTGTAGTGGAGATAGCTCTGAAACGCAGGGAAAGCTCAGCCTCAATGTCAAAGCCCCGGCCGCCGCAATGAAAAAGAAAGTGTTGAAATGTGTAGTGCTGTGTGTAGATTTCATTGACTAAATATGCACTTGAATACCTTCATATTTTGTTCAAAATCAGCTACTTATCACAGGTAACTGACATGACTTCCTTTTCGTTCATACCCACGGCGTCACAGCTTTTTTACGCAATCGGATGCTGGCATGGGCATCGGCTGCTTCGTAAAGTGTATTGCTCCACTGGCCGGAACTGGACGATCATTGGATAAATGCTCGAGAATGCATGCGAGTAAAATTATTTTATTGTATCATTGAAGATTAACACAAGGCACATGTACAATATATGAAGGCCAATACTCTCTTGCAGTGATCCCACAACGAAATATGTTTCATCTGCAAAAAAGAACACCGCTCTGTCACCAACACATCAAGTGAAACTGTGCAACTTGCAGCCTTTTGCAAAAATATACTAGATTCATGTACAGAATAAAAATACAGTCGACCCCCGCAATTTGGCTGGTCCGCAAATGGCCAAAATCCACCGAAATGCATTTGAGAACGAAAATAAAGAAAATTAATGACATAAAGAAATAAAAAGCAACCCCCCCAACATAAAACCATTGATTAACATTCAATGTATGTTTCCCACTAAAATGGGGGGGTCCCTGAAAAAAAAAAAACCCAAGCCCAAAAAAACCCCATTATTTTCTTCTTTAACAATTGAAAAAAAATCTGCAAGTGTGTAAACCCGCAAGTGCTGAACCGTAAGTATGCAGGACTCGACTGTACAGAGTTTGTACACACTGAAGCTACTATACTATATACAAAATGCAGCAAACTATTTGGACACCCTGAAGCGGATTGTAAGAAATTCTCCTGCTTACAAGCATTAGGGCGGCAGTGAATCAAACATATGGGCTATAATTTTGTCAAAAACAGTTCGACTGAAAAACTTACAAGTTCATTTAATGACAAAAATATTAGCTTTTAAATAGAAAAACAACATGTCAAAATAGAAATTTATAAGAGGATCAAGAGGCCTGAAAAATACGAGCATGTCTCTTTCAGGCAAGGTGAGGAGCTGCATGGCTTGGAAAGATTTGTTTTTGGTTGAATTGTAGCACTTCCCCTGGACTATCCATCCATCCATCCACTTTCTGATCCGCTTATCCTCACAAGGGTCGTGGGCATGTTGGAGCCTATCCCAGCTGTTTTCGGGCCATAGGCGGGGGACACCCTGAACCGGTTGCCAGCGCACAGAGACGAACAACCATCTGCACTCACACCAGGGACAATTTCGAATGTTCCGTTAACCTGCCATGCATGTTTTTGGAATGTGAGAGGAAACCGGAGTACCCGGAGAAAACCCACACAGGCACGGGGAGAACATGCAAACTCCACAAAGGAAGCCCGGAGCCGGAATCGAATCCTGCACCTCTGCAACGTGAGGCGGACGTGAGCACCAGTACCAGCGTGCCAGGACATGCCAAATTCATGTGGACTACATTTGCTCTAATAACGTGCACGTACCAAGGTAAAATTGTGATTCTATCCTGCACAACGTGTGGCTTGAAATTTGGCTGCAAAGGGGTCCTGTGGGCTAAAACATACCAGACGAAGGTCATTTTTAGATTTTATATCTGAAAAATCCCACATCACTATCCTTTAGACTGTGGCCTAGTACAGGCAGCTTTCGGGGAAGATCAGTCCCTGAAGGCACTGCTCGCCTCCGTCCGCCAAGTAAGGACCCTCCTCCTCGAACGGGGGCAGAGTTAAGCCATCCTCCTCGCCAACAAAGGGGAGGGCGTCAGGGTCGGCCTTCACACTGGGCCTCAGTTTCTCTGGGAACGCCATGGAAAAGAGGGCCTCTGGGTTGCACACAAACTTGTATACATATCTCTCCCCAGCAACCTGCCAAAGGAAGCAATCACGGAAGAGAAGCTCAGCACTCAGCGTCGACGACTGAGTCAGAGAGTTTCCGTTTCACTTTTACCTTCTGCATGATGCCCTTCTCGTAGTAGTACCTCAGCGAGCGGCTCAGCTTGTCATAGTTCATGGCAGGCCGGTTCTTCTGGATTCCCCAGAGCCGGGCCACCTGAATTGTGAGAAGAAAACATGAAAAAAAAAAAAACCTGTGAGATTAGGAATCTTGAGATTTCGTGCCGCGCACGAAAACTAACCTCTTCAGAGTCAATGAGTTTGAACTCCATATTACGCCCCGTCCACACAATCAGATGTGCATTGGCCGGGTTGTCCAACAGCGTGAGCAGGAACTGCCACAGCTGCAGGGAGCCACGCCGCTGGTAGGGCAAACCGTCCTGCTTTACTTTAGCTGGGCATAAGGAACAAAGCCACTTTAGTCAAAATGAGTGGTCAGGTGTCAAGTCCTTGCTCTTACCCTCCAGTCTGTCCGGCACGACACAAGCGTCATCATAGCTGAAGCGGGCTTCTGCGTCACGACCAAAAGCTGTAAGTGGAGAATGAAATGAACAACACATCCACACTGAAGCATGACCGAGGGGGGAAACAGACCCGCGCTCACCTGAGCCTCCACGCGGGTACAAGACTGGCGTTTTGCCAAAGGATGATGACTGGCAGGTTTGAACCTCTACAAGACACACAAGTGAAAGATGATTTTTTTTTTTTTTTTTTAATGTCTTGCATAGGCTGGTGCATGTAACCTGAACAAAGCTGCTAGGTGAAAAGGCACCTGCAGTTATCCAGTTCAATTCACACCTGTGTCAAAGCCAAAGTCCCTTGGCTCTTGTTTGATGGTGATGTTGGCGAAGGCCGCCATGCTAGAACCACACGCCACTGCCTCCGGGTAGCGCGAATCTACCATCTCCTGTTTGCAAACGCCTCCACCGCCAACTGGAGCCAGAGGCTCCGACAGATGCCGCTGATACAACGGGCATCCCGCGTAGCTTGAGTGAGAGCCGGGCATGTTCAACATTTTCTTTGCCGGTAGAAAGGACAGACATGGTTCTGACATCTGCCGCTGAAACCTGAGAGGACATTTGCAGATTTACTTAATAGGGGATACAGTGAAGCATTCCACTGTTAAGTTCAACGCTCCGGAGGTCATTCCACTGTACCAGAACTGATTTTGGTCCACCAGAAGAGGGACATATTGTGGAAAATGTACTTCTTTGTACTAACTGCTGTCATCCGGTGGCTGCCGGCTAATTATTGGCGACTAAACTGCTAATGTTTACGTGGTCAGTCTGTGCACACCCTGCTCGCATTTTCATGTTTTCCACTTCTTCACTTGGGTGCAACTTGTTCAACAGGTTTCTCGTACTGCCTTGTTTTTGACGACATTCCACGCACAACAGCTTTCTCCTCCCCGCCAAGAGACCCTCTGATATTTTCAGTGAAATTACGACCAGCAGATTGTCTTTTTTCAATGGAGGCTGCAACAGTGGATACTTTCAGAATGAGTATTTACACTTACACATCTTTTGTACTTTTCATCACGTGTGTCGTTGAATGTTGTCACGCTTAACAAGTCTTCTCTATCTAAGTGAAATATCACCTTTCAAAAACTTTATTTGTTAAACAGTAGAGTCAACTTGCTAACTGAATCATTTTGCTCAGTGAAGATTAACGTTATTAACGTGTCGGTAGGAGCCTAAATTGAGTTTGAAATTTTTTGTTATATTTATACATTGTTTACAATTGGAAATGTTGATGGTTGATAATTATAGGAATCATTTAAATTCAGTGCATTTGAAATGGATGTGGATAATTTAAAAGGTGTAACATTTCGTATAGCTTTCATAATCTTGAAGAATATGTTATGGGTTTTGATTTACAAAGGATGTACGTAGCTATTTAATTGCCGTTAAGTCAGAAGGACTGGTGTGACGTCTAGAAGTAATGTCGTCAGGTAACATGGACAAGAGGCACCTTTTTTTTATTTTATTTTTTTTTACCTCTCAATCTCACATTATCAGTTGATTTTCCATTATTTTTTGCTTTTACTTATTTATTTTTTTATTTTGTAATATTTTTTTACAATTGTTTAAGAGTTCTTCAAAGGCTTTTTAAGTACGATTCGACAGAGTCTATTCGCAACATTTGAAGGGTAACCATTAATGTCAGCTCTGTGTGCACATCTGACCCTCTCGCTGAGTTAACAGCCCAAAGTTAGTCCTACAGATATGTTCATCATAACCTCAAAGTGTCAGTTGAGACTTTTTTTGTTTTACGATCTCTGAAACGTTTTACATTGTGTACTGCATGTTGTAACTGAGCAAAGTTGTGTGACTTGACTTGCTAACAATTTAGCGGGGACTTGCTCAATTGTTGCAGCAGTACTATAATTGGCAGCGGCTTGAAACTTTAAAGTTAAAATTTATACTCATTACTTCCACGTACCGGCGGTACTCGGATGTGACTTACCTCCACCTCTGGTGTGAAATGTGCAAGAATTGCTGCCTCCACAAATGAAAATGTTTTATTTTCACTCTTGGCAAGTAGAAAACTTGCCCCCTTCAGTCTAACAGCTCTGTCATAATGGTAGTGAAAGCCAGAGTCTGCATTGGTTCAGCAATTATTTTCATCAGAGAGCACTACCCCCTTAAAACGGCCAAGTTCTGAGAGGCTTAAAAAAATTATACACAGGTGGCTTTTGACAAAAAATGATTTACACTCACCTCTGCCCTGAACCGAAAGCTGCAACAAGGGAGCCAATGGGAGGGTGTGGCAACGCAAACTGATGGCATTGATTGCCCTGTGGCATACGGTGGTGGCGGGTGGGGCAGCCAGACACCTGCCTCGTGGGACCGTTAGCGAGCCGTCGTTGCTGGGGTGCAGTTCCAGTCAGGGGGGTGGCGGCGGCCGCTGAGGTACGTGTCAACTCAGCTGGTTTCCTGTCACAGGCACTGTGGAGAGAAAGATGAGGAGCACTGACAAGACTCTGCCGTTATCACTTAAGTATTCTTCCAGGTAGGCGTCCTACCAGTTGCTGTAAAGGCACACGTCTGTGTGACGCGTCCTGGTGGGGGACAGATCTTTCGTTGGGCTGGACTCTTGTTTCACTGTGCTGTCCGGCGGCACTTGAAACATGGCTGCAAACATGAAAGAGGGAAAAAACTATTCAAGAACATGACTTTTGCTTCCTTCGTCATAATTTTCCTTGTGCCACAGGACGACTATCCATCCGTAGCCCGTCTAGAAGGGCTCTGTTTTTCTATGTCTCTCTTTTTCACCCATCAAAATGGGTCAATTTCAGCAAGAGCAGATGTTGGTGGTGTAAAGTATGTCATCATTCTTTATTGTTGGGGTATTTTCACAAGAGCATCACACAGACATGGTAAGATCCCTGGGAACTGTTTCACATAGTATATCATCTTTGAATAATTTGTATGTTCTCTGCAAAGCTTGCTCCAGCCTCAACGGTCTACTCACCGTTACTGGACTGGAAATCTGGGACAAACTGTTCATCATCAGGAGCCTGAGCTGGAGAGGCAGGAAGCAAAAACGGGAGCAAAAGGTCACATACTACATACATTAGTATGTAGGAGGTCAATGTTAACATGTTCCAACATGCCTTGTGCTATACCTTCTGCTATCCAGAGTTCCTGAAGCTGGCTGAGGTCTTGGAAAAGCTCTGCAAACCAGAAATACAATTTCATCACGCGACATGCATACAATTAACAAAGTATTTTTCCCGATAATGTTCACACATTCTCAAGATTTTGGAGAGCAAAAACATTGTGGCCATACCCTCTGAGTCTTGATCCAAACCGATATCCACGAACTTCCTTTTCCTGTCACTGAGGCATTGCTCTGTTCCCTGTTAGTGACATGTTCATACACAAACGGCAAAGTTTAGGCGTTCAGTGACATCCTTGAATTTATTCTAAACAACAACTTGTGGTCCAAACTCACACTCTCCGGGACCACAAAGGGGACTTGTTGGTCATAAAAGCAGTCCATGTTGCAAAATTCTTCACCCTGGATGAAATAAACAAGAGCGGGTGTTACAGTTTTCAGACTACTTATGACTATTTGATTGTTTGTGAGTTTGCAGAAATTTGTAATGATTTAATTCAAAGAGAGTGGAAATATTACACACACACACACACACACACACACACGCACACACACACAGTTACCTCGGTTTTCGACCATAATCCGTTGCAGAAGGCTTTTCGAAAAGCGATTTGTTCGAAATCCGAAACTATTTTATTAGCCCATGATTAGGGGCTAATACACTATGCAGAAATAATTTTTTAAAAAAACAGTCAGATTTGCGTAAATCACAACAAACGGATCTGCTCACAATGAACGTTACACGAGGAAGCCAAGAGGAGTCGAGTGGCGTATTCGGGGGTTTGCTCAGTTTGGTCAAAAACCAGTTTTCGGTCGTAATCTGAGGCGTGAAAGTCTCTGAATTTTCTGGTCGAAATCCGATTTGGTCGATGACAGAGACATTCAAAAACCGAGGTTTGACTGTATATGACTGAATGGGAGTCGCTGACTGTGTAGTGGTACACACCCCTGACTTGTCTGCGGGCAGTGTGGGATTGGTTCCCACTCAGTGACGGTGTGTATGTGGTTGTGAATGGTTGATTGTCTTGATATGTGCCCTGCGATTGACTGTCGATCAATTCATGCCTTGCGCCCGAAGTCAGCTGGAATCGGCTCCAGCAACTTCCCGCGATCCTGTTCGGCATAAGCGGTGTTGGAAATGGATGGCTGGATGAGTGAATGATGCATCAATCTGTACGGCACAGTATTCGACTGGTTAGCGCGTCTGCCTCACAGTGAAGAGGTCATGGGTTTGATTCCGTGCTCTGGGCTTCTTGTGTGAAGTTTGCATGTTCTCCCCATGCCTGTGTCCTGTGTGGGCCCCCCCCCCCCCCCGACACTTCGGTTCCCTCCCACATTCCAAAACTATGCATGGCAGATTAATGGAACAGTCTAAATTTTCCCTAGGTGCGATTGAGAACGTGAATGGTTGTTTGTTTATGTGTGCCCTGCGATTGGCTGGCAAGCAATGCAGGGTGTACCTGCCTGCTGCCCCAAGACGGATGGGATAGGCTCCAGCAAGTCCGCAATCCCCCTGAGGATAAAGCGGACCACAAAATGGATGGACGCATCAATCATCAACCTTAGTGATCACAGTTTGTACTGATCCAAATTAGCAAGAGTTTCCTGGGTGTCTTCAGTGTGAATTGTAATTGTGAGTACTGAGTCAAACTGGAGCCATAACATTCCTGAAGTAAAATAAGTAAATGGACAAAAGTGCGAATGGAGTTGACGCAGAGAGGGGCGTGGTCGTTGTTTTTCACAATGAAGTGAAACTCGATCCTGGCAGGAGTGAATGATGCTGTTGGTGCAGCAATTCATTGTTGAGTAATTTAACACAAATACGCGACAGGGGTGGCGAGGTACACACAAAGTATTCCGAAGAAAACTCAGTGCCAAAAGCGGTTGCGCTGTGGTGACAGATATGGAGTAAAAAATGGACGCACTGTTGCCTCTCCGTCAGAAAATGGCGTACGATTTTACGCGCATCTACTTCAACGACGCGTACAAGGCACCATTGCAAAATAAAATATATTTATACCGCACGTCTCACCTGGCAAATGAAGGTTTTCACCCGTGTCAAAGTGAAACACTACCTTGCTTTCCACTCCTTCATTCCCCGCATAGCTTCGAATAAAAAAACGCGACTGCAGATTTTCTTTAATGGAGACCCCTACACGCTCGCTGTGAACCGATCCAAGTGCTCCCTTACCATTGGCAGACACATATGTCAGTCAAACACAACCAATAACCTAAGCGAGCGCTATTTCGGTTCCGCCATCTCTGTTTTTATGAATGGCCGCACTTCAGTCATACATCTAAGGTTCACTTATGAACCAGTCATTACGTAAATGACGCACGTAATAAACACAATTTAAAAACACATTGAAAGGAGTCATACGATTAAAAAATCTCCCGGGGTTGGATTGAAAACAATTGTTAAAAAAAAGAAAAAGCATATACACCTTAACATCTAAACTGAAGTAAACGTATCTACAGAAACACTCAAGATATTTTGCTTTAGCACACGTGGATAGCCACAAAATCCCGTTATACTAGCGTGGGACCACATTTTCCTCACATCACTTCGTCTTTGTGTGTGTGTGTGTGTAAATAAAAGTGTTATTGTTTAGATCACTGGTGTAAAGCTCAAGGCCCGGGTGCGAGATCCAGCCCGTGCCATCATTTTATTTGGCCCGCAAAGGCACATCGTGTGTGTTGACAACAAATTTTTCTAGCTAAATTTATTCACTTTCAACACCAAGATTGAGGTGGGATTTGCTACCCCCCCTTTCAAATACATGCCAAAATAGTTTAACAAATAATTTACTGGCTTCTGATTCCAAAACTAGTTATCCATTCATTTGTGTACAAGAAAACCTTGGTCTCACAATGGAGAAATTCCCAATTTACAGCAGCAAAATTATGAAAGGGAGAAAGTAGAAGACAGAAAGTATATAAATAAATATAAATCAGAAATATAAGCATATTAAAAATGGGTGAGTGGGGTGAGTCCAGGTTTTCAGGACCGTCTATCCAATAGCCTGACAGCAGTCGGCAGGAACGACCGGCGATACCTCTCCTTCTTGCAGCGCGGGTGTATCAGTCTCTGGCTGAAGGAGTTGCCCAGTGCTGCCACCTCCCCCAGAGTTTCCAGGGAGCAGACCATATGTCATAATACAATGCGCTCATACATTTAGATGGGTTCACATACATAACAGCCCCCCGAAGGAAACCACAACTACAATGTCGCCCGCGACGAAAATTAGTTTTACACGCCTGGTTTAGATTGTTGGTCTGACTAGCCCAGAGTCCTGTATGGACTCGATGTTGGCGTTGTCGGGAACAATAAAATGCTTTCACCACTAGATGGCAGAATGTGTATTCCAACAATGAGAACTTTACTGCCTTTAATGCCTGGGTATTCATGTACAAGATAAGATAAGAAAACCTTTCTTAGTCTCGCAATGGAGAAATACATATCAGCTACTTTCTGGTAACTAAATTCGCCGACGGTATACAATACACGTTTATTTTTATGTAGGCCTACTGTACATTAGAGTAATACATTACATAGTTCAGGGGTCACCAACCTTTTTGAAAGCGAGAGCTCCTTCTTGGGACTGAATTTGAAGGGCGACCAATTCCATACACCCTCCTACAATAACAAATTTGCTAGAATTATTTCTAACAACAAAATAATGATTTGGGAAACAAACAGAAATATTTTAAACTTTAACTTTTATTTCTGCGAACCACTGCAAATGTTAATATTTTCAATTGTGGTTTATAGAACATGCCTCCTCTGGCTACTCGCGGTTCTTTTTTTTTTATTTTTGGGCCACACCACGTTGACGACCCCTGACATATTGTGGCATAATACACATACATACATATGTAGACATCTACATTTACACTTAATACAGGCTTTTTTTTTTTTTTAACCGTTGATACAGTTGAAGTACATATTCCAGTCCAGAGTGTGGCGGTAGACGTCCAAGACACAAATATAGTCAAAGGAAAGGCAGAACTACAACCTAGAAGTATTTTTCGTCTTTAATATTGTTGTTATAGTTAAAATGCATGTACACCATTATAAGAAACTGTTTTCTATCTTGTGTAGCGAGGCTCTTAGTATTCCACATTTGTTCTACACATTTAAGCAATGACAATGTTGTGTTATTTTTGACTTCAAGATGGCGCCGCGAGAGTGGCTGCCTTTCCAGCAGCTCCTATATTTTGTTGTTCTACTTCTTCCATTCATAACTTTGCTGCTGTGAATTGGGAATTTCTCCATTGCGAGACTAATAAAGGTTTTCTTATCTTATAAACTAACGCTCGGAGCTTAGCTGGCTACTCTTAGTTATGTGACACTGGTTTATTAATCTTAGCGACACTAGCAAACAAACAAAAACGCACGGTATTAATAACAACCTAAAAATAAGATGCCGGATAATTAAAAATAGCCGACATACAAGTATGTATCCGTTGAACTTTTGATTTAATTTCTTCCGTTGTGGTTAGATCAGAATCGCCTCTTTACTCATTGTCCGTCGTGCCGTTTGGAAAGAACGCAAACGCACTCCGAACTAGTATATCTGATCAATTCATCACCTCTGACCACAACTTTAAAGCGTGGCGGCCCTGAAGGTTAACTCGAGCCTGTTGCCCATCGCCACGAAGGCTAAGCGAGCGGTTTTTCCTATCACTTCCGGTCAAAGTCGGGCCACAACTACGACCAGATCAAATAAGATCAGTGTGTAGGTTTTTAAGGAAAATCACACGCATTCCGCATTCACGAACATACTCACTCTCACGCACCGGCAGTCACAAACGCGCACGCAACATGCATCGCCACACACGAGCCATTCAAACTGTGCCGTTGACGATCACTTCCGGGAAGAATACGTACACTCGCGTTGCATCACGGGAAAAGGGACCTCCCCCTCTCTCTTTCTCTCTTTCTCTCCCCCCCCCCCCACCAGCCTCCCCTCTCTTTTTTGGATAACATTGCTGAACAGTACAACACAAACATACACTATCTCTCCAAAACAACATGACCATTAAAATAAGCAAAAGTACATTCAATTACGTCATGAACAAATCGCCCGACAGGTAAGGCAAAGCTGTATGTAATAAATGCATCGTTACATATGAGGAAGTTTGCCTGATCATGTCTAAGATGTCAGAATACAACACTTGTTTAAAATATCTATGGATTAAATTTAACAAATAAAGCATTCTCATGTTTGTCGAATGGCGACGTTAACGTAGCGATCGTCACTTTACGTCACGACACGGGCCGGTAACCATGGAGATACTTCAACAACAGGATGGTTAAATTTAGTCAGTTATCAGAATTTCGGAGAAGCTCAGGACAAGGCAAAGCTGTTGAAATCGACATAAAATACGCTATCTTTAGAACAAATAAGTGTATTTGGCGTTAAGACCCATACAAGCGGCCTGCCTCGTCGTGGTATGGTGTCACCTTCAAAGTCTGCCTGTTCCCATCCTGACTTAAGGTTGGTTAGCACGTTTACCACTCAAGTACCACTCATCATTTATGTGATAATGATAATTAATTATTATATTTTTATTTGCAGTGTTTGGCTGTTAGCTGGGTACTCAGCCGGTGACAGGTCACCGTAGAGTGGTACGTCTTTTTTTTAACACCCTTTCCATAACATTTGAACATTGTACAGTCCATTTAAGTGGATAGAGGTTGAAAATGATTTACAAATAATTGCGTTTTGTTTTTATTTACATTTAATACAAAGTACTGACTTCATTGGAATTGGGTTTTTCTACAATACCTGTTGCGATAACTTCCACACACCGAAGAAAACTTCTCTGCATTAAAAATACTTTGCTGTCATTACATAGTGCTGACACTGAAAAAAAGAAAAGTAATCATTGTACATATCACATTCTTCACTAGCTTTAGATTTGGTCAACTATCTAAACATGTTCTCATAGCTTTGCTGATATTATGAACTGCGTATAAAAAAAAAGACAAATGAGCTAATGGAACTAATTGAAAATATGTACCTTTAGTAGTATGTCAGTTTTTCTTCTTTTGTCCAGCTTAGACAAGAATGACTTGAGGCGAATACATAGTTTTCCCAAGACTGCATGCACATCTGGACAACCCCCGCGGCCACCAACCTGGAGGTCAACACACCGCTTATTGAGTGTTTGATTTGATAAATTTAATTGGCAGCGTAAAAAAATAAAAAAGATGTATTGTGTGAGGTTTGGAGGCGATAATAAAAGTGCGATGGACACCGTCTCATTTCACTGTTTATCAGAGCCATTTAGAATGAGAGTGAGAAGATTGTCAAGGAAGAGGCGGAATGTGGCGTTACAAACCAGCAGAGCTGATCTCACCCCAGCCAATTATTTCTGTTTTTTTTTTTTTTTTTTTTTTGCGACAGACACTTTAACATCATGTCATTTTTTTCCACTGCTTCCAAAGTTTCTCCACACTGTCAAGTTTGTAGCCCTCGTCTATAGCGACTGGAAAATTTGTAACATAGCAAATAATAACTCTGCCAGCTAAAACTTATCAACACTGGTATTGACATTCAAATTCATCTGAAGGTTAGGGCCCTGCGTACATGCACATTTGGCTAAAAATATAATGTCAACTAACAATCAGGGTTACACTTAAATCTCCAGATTGAGGCTTTTGTCGGAGGAAATTGTTTACATGCACTGTATGTGTACAGTCAAAGTTGTTTCGCTGTCTTGTATGCAGGGACTCGAGCCTGGACACACTAGAAAGAAACCTGTCCAACCCCGGAGAATAGCGGGCAAGGCTGGGCGGATTTGTGGGTCTCACTGTACAAGTGCAGCTGGCCTGGGCCAGACACGCACACATGCTGCTGCATTGCTGGTTATCATTCAGACAAGCATCATGTTGAGGGACCCCAAGTCACATTGGCGGACACCAGCCGCAATGTCAAAGGTGGGCACCGTCTGTCTCGAGTTTCACCGCTACAACTACATAATGCAGACAAAGCTCAGAGGTTTGGACCACAATTCCTTGTTGATGGTGTAACTTTCAAATGCTCAACTTTCTCGACATTTTCATTTCTGATTGAGGTGAATTATATTTGTAATTCACTCCAGAGTCCAAACTTTCACTATCATTAAAGTTTTATTAAGTTTACAGGCAGCATTGTAAGTGCCGGGAACATTTTAGCATTATAAATTGTCGAGCAAATACAGTCCAAACGGAAGTTAATCAGAATAAGTGGAAACAAAACGAGCTGTAGACATCCTCTTAAATGACACATAACAATGGGTAATAAAGGTCAAATAACACCAACCAGCAATGTAAAAATGTGAAAACACAACATGTTGTTCTCTTTTGACTCAGCAAGCGAAAAGCTTACAAGAGTCAAAATCTACATTCAGCGCTTCTTGTCAAACATTTCAAACCGATGAAATCCAGCAAATGCACCACACCAGTCGCGGGGGATCCAAAGCATTGTCTTTTGCCGTGAGAAAGCTCCTCCACACTGGACGAGAATCTTATCCAGCCACTGACAATGGAACCAAATCGGGAAGGAGAAACCTCCCAAATTAAAACCCGTTTCGGGGCCATACGCGTCTTAACAGAAGCAACCCTCGTGCTTAGTCATCACATGACTACTCGCCATCTTCTTGAACTCTCGAAGACACCGAAACACTCGTTATTGCTGGACAAAAGTACTTGGACACCACCAGAGATTTTAGTGCGCTTACTACACACGCGACTTGCTCTGTTTATTGTTCTTCGAAAGTTTTAACAAAAATACCTAGAGAATCAATCCTTGAATATGGCAATGCAATAATTATACATTATGCCAGTGATGTTGTGCTGGTACATTCGCCTGACTTCTGTGCAGGCCATGTTGGTGACGGTGACAATGTGATTTGGAATGGTTGTCTGTCCTTCGGGACGGCATGGTGGCCAACTGGTTAGCACGTCGACCTCACAGTGCAGTGCTGCAGGGTGCAACCTCCCTCTGTGGAGTTTGCATGTTCTCCCCGTGCCTGTGTGGGTTTTCTTTGGGTACTCCGGTTTCCTCCCACATTCCAAAAACATGCATCGCAGGCGAATGGAATACTGACAATTGTCCCTGGGTCTGATTGTGAGCGCTAATGGTTGTTCGTCTTTGTGTGCCCCGCGATTGGCTGGCAACCAGTTCAGAGTGAACCCCACCTACTGACCGAAGACAGCTGGGATAGGCTCCAGCACGCCCCGCGACCCTTGTGAGGATAAAGCGGTTTGGAAAATGGATGGATAGATGGATGTCTGTCCCTAGATATGACCTGTAATTTACTGGTGACCAATCTAGGGTGCAGCCTGGCTTTCACCTAATGTCGGCTGGGAAAGGCTCTGTCTCTCCACAGCCCTGAACGGGATAAACAATAAAGAAATTGGACAGTTTGGGGCTGACTGGTAATGTTTTTCGGTATTATGTTGGATGCTGTAGGGGTGGCATGGGCTCGCTAGTGGAGTGTTTGTCTCCCATACCGAAGGTTGTGGGTTCAATCCTCAGCTTACTGGTGACCAATCTCGGTGGAGCCCATTATGACCATGTCAAAGTGTCCTTAAGCAAGACACAATGAACCCCCGTTTGCTCCCATTTGATTTGGCAGTGTCGTGTGTGGCAGCAACCTCCAATTGGTGTGTGAACGTGATGCTTTATAAAGTCTTGTTAAAGCTATTAAAGATAAACGTCACGCTGTAGGTTATAAAGTAGTGTCACGCAGGCAGAGACACTATGGCTGTAACATAACAATACATTTTATGATTTTCCTGTTAGTTATTGGAGTCCCTTGCCAGTCATTAATGGACTCGACAGCAGAGCAGTGGACTGGTAATAATGCTGTGCTATATTGGATTTAAGCTGCATTTGCGTCCATGCCAATTAACTAATCCTGTATCCGATGCCGCATGGGGGCCGGTGAGGTCATCTTGAATGGCGTAATCAGATTGGAGCGTCTACTACAGCGGCAAAGTGACACTGAAGTTCCACGTCAACAACAATACACCTGAGTCAATGCGCTGTGAAGAATCACACAGCAGAGGGAATGTGAGGAGGAGGCATTGTTTTTTATTTTATTCCACAATGGACTAAAAAAAAAAAGACTGGACCAAAAGAGACAAGCTCCCCGCCCTCTATGCCATGGAAGAGTCCAATGCAAACAAAGTGAGTGGTTACATTTTCTTGCTCACCTTTTGGGTTTGTGCTTGTGGGTGGGCCACACAACTACACAATCATCGACCCAATCAGGTCGCAATGTTATCTCGACTGCATTCAATTTCCCTTGGATCAGATCGGAAGTACAACATTGTCACAAAAAGTGATACAGTGATTGTGTGTGTGACTTTTGGAAAAGTGACCGATGCACATGGCTAAACTATGTGTTAGAATATGGCAGTAAATATTGACCGTTCTTTGATATTTGGATGATTACCTTCTAATTAACTCCATATGGGTTTATTTTCTTGTTTTTTCCTTCTTGTTTTTTTTTTTTTTTTGTGACGCTTCGTCTGAATAGACAATCATAAGAGAAAATGAATAGCCACAGGATGTAAGTGATAGTGTTTCAGTGTCATTGTGCAGTGAGAGTGGGAGATGATTGCCACGAGTCATGTGGATGACTGAGAATGTTTTGTTACTCGTGTTAGCTCATATTTAGCGCTGTTACCAACTTTAATTCGGTTGGCTCGACATACTTCCTATTTTTGCTCCACTGCAATGGGCTTGACAGATCCCTTCATCAGTATGGAGCAGCTTTTGGTACAAAAATGACTTTGATTTGCATTTTCTATGATTGCTGACTTGCATTTCAGCCTCTCGGCTCGCAATGTTCAAGTGAAGATGTCGACAGCTGCATTAGCTCCTCGCGCGAGATAGACCCCAGCCATTTGCTACCTGCAATATCCTTCTCACTGGCATAGGGTTATGTGTGTGTTGTACTTCAAAGCTTTTATCTGAAATTAATGGTTGATTTCATTTCATACTGGTACATCCATCCGTCTCATCTGGGGTCAGAAAACTACGCAGCGAAGTCTAAACTTTCCTCTCCCCAGCCACTTCGCCCAGGGGGGCTTTTGAGGCCTGCCAAGAGGGTCCCCAGAAGGAGCCCTCTCCAGCACCTCATCGAAGGACTCCAAGAAGGGTGAACTTCTGTTTGGTGCATACTGTAGGCACAAACAACAGTCAGAACGTGTTCTCCCACCCGAAGGCAAACGGAGGCTATCCTCTTGTCCGCCGGCGTGAACACTAACATACAGGCAAGGGAGGGGGCAACAAGTATGTCCGCAACCGCTCAGTGGCTCTCACTTTGCGGAACTCCAGATTGGAAGACAGTTTTAGCCCCTCAAGAGCACTAGCTCCGGAGCTGTGTGTCGAGACGAGCCTGACTAAAGGTAGCCAGAACCTCTCGACTTCGCGCACCGGCATGCGCTCCCTCCCCGACAGAGCGGTGACGTTCCACGCCCCTGGAGCTTCTGTAGTTGGGGTTGGGCGCACAAAGCTTACTACCATCGGCTGCCGCCTGGCTCACGATACCCCTCCCCCCCGGCCCCCCATCCCTTTTTATGGAGATTCATTTATGACCCTACCTTATTCCTTACTAGAAGTAAGATTGTGTCTGTACAGTTAATGTGTGTTTTGTTTTGTTTTGGGATTTTTTTTTATGGGAAGAGTTTGGACTTTGAAGCAAATTATTCAAATATAAATTGATCTCATTTAATTCTGCAAGTCATCACTGTCATCACTTGCAAGTGAGTGAAGCAGCCATTGCATGTGGGTGGTATGGTAGTTCTCGGTGCACTCCTTGCCCCCATGAGATGAGTTGTGAGCTTACTGCACTTGCACCCTGCAATGACCGACCGCTCCCTGAGCTTTCCGACTGTCCAACAGAGATGTTACATCACTCTTGTTTTGCATGCGAGTGTTAAAGCAGTGCAGCCTGCATGTTCACGTTATTTAAACCAGGGGTCCCCAACCTTTTTTGCCCCACGGACCGGTTTATGTCAGACAATATTTTCAGGGACCGGCATTTAAGGTGTGGCGGAAATAATACAACAAAATAATATGGTATGAGCTGCATGGAAACTGTGGTGTTTTCGAAATATAATAATAAACACAAGGAGCGTCTAATCTGGCCGCAACACTCTCTCTGATCGCGATGGTAATGTTTAATGCCTTCAAAATACGATACAATGCAAATTCAAAGTGCATGAAAATGACGACTCACCACAGCCCCGAGCTTGATTTTCTGCAACCAGACGGTCCCATCTCGGGGTAATAGGAGACAATGACACCTCAAGTGTGTGTTTTATGTCCAGTCTACTTCGTAATTTTGTTTTCGTCACCGTTGCTGCAGAAC